CAGTCCATGGGTTGGGCATTGGGCGTGACGCTTGAGATTCTTCAACATAGACATACTCATGGGGGCAAAACGAGCATAAGCACTTTCAGCCATCCGTGGCAGGGAGCGATCCTCCTCCTCGCATTTCTGCACGTACAGATGACAAGCCACGCACCCTAGCCGCAGCCCATCCGGAGATTTCCATGCCTGCAACCATGACGGCCCATATGCTGATTTGATCGGATGATCCTTCTGAAGTTGCTCTGCATGCTTTTCCCAAAAGCATCGAGCACACTTCTGTGAACCCAGTTTACAATGACGCTTCAATTTCTCGGCTGAGAAAGACGCGTGAGCCTCCCCATCATCATGCGCACGCTTCATCCCAACTTAGCTGTAAAGCTAGGCTGCGTAAGGAAAGAAACTGGGATGTAGTTATGTCCGGACTCTGTAAGTTTGTGGCAAATGCTTGACTTGAAAACCTCAACATGTCATTGATTAACTGGGCCAGCTGAATCCACGGCATCATGCAATAATTCCACATCCGACGCTGCGCCCGAAACCCGGCGACAGAACAAAGCTGGACCCTTGTAGTGGAAAAGCCTCTACACCACACTGTTCTCCAGTTGCAAAAGCCCTAGCCTTCACCCAGAGCCCCACGCCTGAAGCCAACAGCAGTTGTTCCCTTCACCAGGTTGAGGGTGGACCGCTAGCGGGTTGTATAAGATAATTCAGGACTCCACGCTCCAACTCTCCAAGACGATACCCTAACTCGAAAAAGAAACCCTAAACCCTAAACCCCACCACCCCATAAAACCCCTCGAGGCCCTGTCTCGAGCAGCTCGGAACACCTCTGCCCGGACCTTCGCCACCTCGGAAGGCCAGGATCTTATCTAGTTTAGTGCTCTTCTGAGCCGTGGCTTAAGGCTTGCGAAGGTCGAAAGTTCAGGGTTCAGTGCTCAGTGCTCGGAAGCCTATACAACCTACATTTTCCTGATATACCATCTCATACGTATTTCTTCAAACCTGGACCGCTCAGGTAGACCCAGAAGCCACATAAACCCTAAACCCCTGAACCTTTGACCCGTTTCTACTAAGAAGTTAGGGCACCCCAGCCAAGTTTGGGCACCCCAGTGTGTCTTAGGCCAACAAGCAGGGTTATCCGGTATATGCCACTGAACGAGAGAGGAATGCTGCCGTTTAGTATGCAACGCTTCATGACTCGTGCTGTTGAATGGGCCTGTCCCCACGCCCTATCAATAAAAGAACACAGCATTCGGTGACCCTTCAACCCCCTAAATCCCCCCAAACCCTAAATCCTAGAAACGAATACCCTGCAACCCTCACACCACACTGCCCCCAAACCGCAAACCCGAAGCCCTCAAACCCTAAAACACAAAACGGCTGTAGGGGTTTAAAACCCCTACAGCCCTAGAGTCCTGAATTCCAACACATCAAAGAAACCTTGAAACCCAGAAAACTGAAGCCCTAAATCTCTAAAACCGTATTCCCCTGATCCCTAAACTAAAAACGAAACACTTAACCCCCAAGAGCCCCAAACCTCCGAAGCCCTGAAGTGCCTGTGGGTCACACCTTGCAAGTCGCCGGTCTGCCTGCCACGCCAAAATAATTTAGGCTCCAGGTCTTACAGAACCTCTCTCCTTCACGTCCATGCTCCACATTGAGGCTCAAGTAAATCCCAGCTTTCAGCAGTCGATCTCGCACCTACATGCCGAAGAAAAGCCGGAAGGGCATCAAAATCGGGCAAGCGCCAGCGCTCAGTAGACGCACCTGGGCCGAATGGATCAAATTCATCGGCAGGGAATGCGGAGCAAGGATCGCTGTTATATTGAGTTTCACCGCTAATTTCGGGCTGAGAACAGGTGAAGCTCTGACCTTGAAACGAAAAGACATCTCTCTCAACGGCGAGATCCCCAAGATCATTATTTCCGGGGAAACGGCAGGTGGCCGCAAGTCTCCTGGAGAAGTCTACGTGCGGAAGAAGCATATCGCGTGGCTAAGATCCCTTATCAAGTCCGGCTACATGGTTACACGCAGGCGCAGGCACAAGCACGGAAAAGGCAAGAATAAAACCATCGACATTGAAGACACCTACTACATGCCAGAGGACGGGTTCTTGTTCGTGAGTCGTGACAAAGCAAAACGTGACCATTTACACTATAATGCAGTCTATGCCCATATCCGAAAGCAAGCCCCGCGCTTCCTTGAGCACCTGAAGAAACAGGGGGCAGCTTGGGGACCCGAGATTTCCAAACTACGCCCTCACAGCGGCCGCGCAACATTGATCACTGAACTACTCGGTGAAGGACTCTCTACTGCGCTCTCTATGAAATTCGCGCTACTTGGCTGCAAACTTATCCTTGCCCTGTGAACGTGCTGTC